TATATATATATATATATATATATATATATATATATATATATATAGTCTGTTAGCGTGTTATTCCTAACTATAAACATATTCAGATTATTATTTTCAATTCTTCTACGCGAAATGTTTTCGTAATAAAGAAAATTCATTAAATATCAATGCAAATATTATTTTAATATCTGTTATTTGATACGAGATAAAACTTATATCGGAAGTCCATCTAAAGATGTATGTAATATGTGTAACAATTGGTTTGTTCAGATTTATGTTGATAAGTTATTATCACCCAAAATAATATACTAGTAAGTTCCTTGATAACCGTGATATGAACCGTGATGTATAATATTTGTAAATGTATTATAACTAGTATAAAAATAAAAACTAGAAGTGTCACTAAATAATGGCTGTCATCAAAGGATAAAAAAATAAAATTAGCCTTAAACATCACATAGTATGTTTGTTGTTTTAAATTTTTAAAAATGGTTAGACTCCACGGTCGGGGAGATGATATAGGAATAGGTGAATGATATTTCTGTGTGAGTTTTTCTAACTTTAAACCAATGTTTCATTGCTATCGAAAAAATGAGGTCGAACAGTTTGGTTATGTTTTCTAAAGACGGTTAATATAGTATTAGAATTAAACATTTTAATAAATTAGGTTTAATTTTAAATAGAAAAAATTATCCATAACCGACATATATTTCATTCAAATATTTTAAAATTATGAAATATTGATGGAATATTAATATCAGTACTTAGAAAGTTTTCCAAATCTCTATAGTTGAATTATTCAATTAGAATAATAATCAAATAACTAACATTGTACCATAGAAATTCGTTGAAATACTTTGGTTTGTTAAAATTTAATTTTCTGTTACTTCGTTCATAGTGACCTTCCACTACATTTTTTTTTAATAGCTATAAAGAACATTTTATGAAAAATCTTGTTTACAAAATACTAGGTTGGGCTGATGTCGAAACTCAATCTTGATTACTTAGTCTTTTGTACATTTTTTTTTGTTCTTCTAATTTAGAAAATTGTTGAGAAATTCAAAAAATCATCAGTTCCAAAGTGCTAATTAAATACCATTTTCTTTCAGAAACTTTTTAATGTAATGATCACAATAATCCTTCTGATCGAAATCGCAAAGATAGATAAAAAAAAAAAAAATAAAATAAAAATACACTCATCATGGTAAAACACCATTTCTTGTTTCACTCAAAATCTAAAATATAATTAATGAAATAAAAAATGTTTTTAATAATCAACTATGTTTTTTTCAAAATCATAATTATATAATCCAGTTAATTTATATTTATTGCTAATATTTAATTTATTAAATTTATACATAAATGATTAGTTTAGTTTTTCCTTATATGTCATTCGAGTTGATAATAATTTTAAAAGTGTTTTAAATTAAAATTTAAAATGCTTTTCATTGAATACATTATACAAATACATTTTAATGTATTTCAATCGTTTTTCATATTGTTTGTAATTTTATACAAAGTTCTTCCTGAACTATAAATTGATGTATAAGAAATAATACGAATAAGTGTTCTTTTAAATTTCAAAATGTTTGTCGTCGAAAATTTTTCGACGGAATGTATTCGTTAACAGAGGTATCAAATTCGGTATATTGTTCACGTGAGTACATACGATCGCGTTGTTTCCCGACTGAAAATGTTGGTAATTTTACACGAAAAAAAATGTCTAAGAAATCAACAGCCGATGGTAATTATACGATGTGGAGAAACCGTTCTCATCTAGGAAACCACACGCTGGGACCTTTACAGAACGCAGATTATCAGATTATGGTTTTTTTTTTCCCCCGGAAGTCTATACCGAGGACTCAATCACGGGAATACGACGCGATTCGCAAAAAAAAAAAAACTATCGTATTTATCGCGTTTACCTCAAAATCCGCGTGTTTATCAAATTTGTTCAATGGATTGTGTGCGAGCATTTTCGTACTTATAATTATTATTACTGCTATTAATCGAAATAGGGTGCCCTACAAAACAACTGTAAGTACACACGTACCGGACTCGCGTTACTCAGCCGTAACGTGCGTAGTGCGTACGTCATATACATATTATGCCTTTTAACACTGATGCAGAGGGTGATTAACCTCGAAAATGCGGGACGATTATTACCGAGACCCTTATTATTACTATTATTGTTATTTTTTTTCACAATATGTTACACGTAGTGTTTTTTGTACACGACGACGTGTACATGACGGACGTACAAACGCAGTCGACGATCTCCTGATAAACGTCTGTTCCCGTCGATTCCCATGATAAGTACGTGCACGTTACATGCGTGCATTCCGAGTGTCCAAGCGTGATTAATGCCTCCACCCCATGTGCGCGCTGGCACAAACTGTTGGAAAGCGGGTAATTTAACACGCAAAAGTCACGGCCCCTCTCGCACTTACGTACACGGCAGAAACCTGCGGCGGCGTCATCAACCAATTGATCGGATTATCTGTGTACGCGATCTTTCAGTACCTACACGTATGCGAAGCAATAAAGGTGTACGCGACGGTATTACACCGTTATATTTTTCCAGTATGTAAAGTGTGGAACGAAACTCGATAAAATATGCATATTATTATTATTATTATATTGTATATACCGAGCAACAACGCCGGATAAGGCGGCTTATTTATTTTTAGCACTTAAAGTTAAGTTGATCTAGAGTTATGTAAGTTTAGTCAGTTTGAAGTGAAAAGTTCCTTTTTTTTTATTAACTTGAAATTTTTATAAGATTAATAGAAAAAAATAAATGGTTTACTGATTAATATATAGCTCGTATCAAAAAATATTAAATTTATCAAGTTGTTACTTTATAAAAAAAAAAAATAAAATAAAATTGCTAGATTCACCAAATAATATAATAGGTATAATGATTTTGAAAATTCTCGCCAGGAGATTTTTTTATGGATCTTGTTGTGTTTACGGATCGTCGGAAGGCTGTACAACGAATCGGATAGTAATGCGATATGGTGGAATGATGATTTTCGTCCAAAAAAAGTTGACCGGTTATGTAAATAATATAATTTTTATATGCATCATCATATGTTGGATAAATTAAAATATTTTAATTAAATATTTTTTTCAACAACAATCTCAGTATAATTACGTTTGATTTTAGTTTTTTTTTTAAAAAAATTGTTAGTTTTTAACGATTTGTAAATTTTCATAAAGCCAATTTAAGGTAGAATATGATATATGTATTGAAATCAATAGACAGCGATATTTGTTTGATATTTATTATAATGAATGTGTGTATACGAAGCAATATATTTTTCTAATAATAATAACGATTATGTTAAATAATTTGATAAGCTAATTTGTGTAAAGAATCTAATGAAAAAAAATTAAATACATTTATTATAGAAAAATATACGATTAAAATAAAAATGTTTCAGTCATTTTACAATTTAATTTAGTTTGATACTTAAAATAAATTATTTTCCAATATTTAATCATAATTTATGTGATATGATACTATAAAAATTATATTTATATTATATACATTATATAATATTAAAACAATATATTGTTAATGAATTATTAAATTAAAAATCAAACAGCAGTTATATAATTGTTTATAAATTATACTATGTACTTTATACTTAAACTTTACTTTTTACTTATACTTTATATATTTTATATAGAACTAGAAAATAACTAAATTTGGTTTGGATGGAATTAGATTAGTTTTCAAAAAGGTCTTGCGTCGCGAACGCGTTAAAACGTGGTTATTATATTTTACTGTGCAATATTTATTAAGAATTAGAGTATGAAAATGAAAAACGTTATTTTTAAAGCGTTATACCAAAACAATACATTTATTTTTCTAGTTTTGTTTTGATAAAGACAACAATTTTACGAACAAATGACATTTGCTGTAAATTATAATTAAAACTGACACGCAATTAAATCATTTATAGTTGTCGACTTTACTTATACGTACTAAAACGTTTGTTGAATTAATTGTAGTCATAACAGAAAAAAAAAATACAAGTAACTATTTTCAACTCAAAAAATGAAAAGTAGAAAAAGAGAGAACCGTTGTGAATAAAAAAAAAAATATCTGGCAAGACTTAAACGTTTAAAGAATATCAAAGTATAAACCTTTTGAACGTGTGCAAAACGTATGATTGGAATCCAGATATAATAAATGATATATTTACATAATAAATGGATTGTCGATGTTGTAGATAAAATGATTTAAAAAAAAAAAAATCCGAAATTTAGCTGTTCCGTGTTATCAACCTTGTGCTGAAAGTACTTTACGAATACCGACGTACGAATTATAATAATTGTATTGCTATAGGTAATAACTATAGTAGTGTTGCCTACAATAATGTCACTCAAGTTTCAAGTATAATTTGTAATCAGTACATTCATACGAACGAATCAATCAAGTGG